GGGGGATGCCAGCACCGCAGGCAGAGGATTAGCCCGCTGTGCCACAATGCCAGCCCCAAAAGGCAGTTTTCAGAGAGGAAGATCAATCCCCCGAAGCCAGGAGTGGGGGAACGCCATCCATGTCTCCCATGTGGGTGCAGGGGCCCAAGCACTTGGGCCGTCTTCTACTGCTTTCCCAGGCCATAGCAGAGAGCTGGATTGGAAGTGGAGCAGCCAGGATTCAAACCAACACTTGGATATGGATGCCGGCATTGCAAGCCCACTGCACCATAATGGCAGCCTCCGGTTTGGGTCTTTTGGAGATCCACTGAGGCATATAGCCAAGAGCCAAGAATTGGTGCTGGGGTGCAGTGGGTCTCTTGTGGAGCTGGCATCCCATATGGGAGCTCTGGTTCCAGTCCCTGCTGCTCCACTTCCCATCCAGCTCCCTGCTAATGCACCTGGGTAGGCAGCAGAGGATGGCCCAAGTGCTTGAACCCTTGCCATTCACATGAGAGACCAGAACCAAGTTCCCGGCTCCTGGCTTAGGCCTGGTGGGAGGGACCTAGCTGTTGGGGTGGTTCGGGGAGTAAACCAGTAGATCTCTCTTTCTCTCCACCTTTAATTTTAAAAAATTAAAAAAGATTTATTTATTTATTTGAGGTAGAGTTACAGACAGACAGAGAGAGATCTTTCATCTACTGGTTCACTCCTCAAATGGCTGCAATGGCTGGAACTGGGCTAATCTGAAACCAAGAGCTAGGAGCTTCTTCCAGGTCTACCACATGGGTACAGGGGCCCAAGCACTTGGGCTATCTTCTACTGCTCTCCCAGGTGCATTAGCAGGGAGCTGGATCAGAAGAGGAGCAGCCAGGACACACACTGGTGCTCATATGGGATGCCGGCACCGCAAGCAGAGGCTTAGCCTACCACGCCACAGTGCCGACCCCCCCAAAAAAAAAAAAAAAAAACTTACAAAAAAGAAACTTAAAAAAAAAAAGGAACTAGGGCTGTGCTATTTACAGAGATGCTGGAATACTCATACCTTCTCGTCAGGGTCCCCAAATGTCTATGGGACAGGGGCACACCTCGCCTCTCACATGGGGTGTGGGAGAAGGAGTCTGTCTCCCCCTTACACCCCAGAATTCAGTTCAGGCACACACTCCCAGCAGCAGAGGGTGGCTCTGTGGCCCTCCGGACCTCCTGGACAGCAAGAGAGTGAAACAGCCCAGACACAGGCCCAGCATCTCTGTGGTCCTCCTGACTCAGGTCTTCTTTTTCACTTCCCTCTGTCTACCCACTTCCCAGTCTGTAGATGGAAGGAGGGAAGGTGACATGACGACAGTTAAAGGGGAGGGAGGGGACAAGAGAGGCCTCTGGGTTCGTCAGCTGTGAAGGTGGTGGTGGGGGGTGGTTTGCTGTGGCTTAGAAATAGAAGCCAATGAGGTTTCGGGTGTTTTTGTTTATTTTTTCAGGTCAACTTGGCTCAGGAAAAAAAAAAAAAAACAGAAGAAAGTGGAGATATGGGAGGCTGAGGGCAGGATTGGCTCTGCAGAAGAGTGGGTAGAGAGAAACAGGGGTCAGAGAGAAACATGGGGCAGGCGATGGGGAGAGACTGGGGTGCAATGGCTCTGGGGACGCTAAGGTGCTAGCACCCACCAGATGCCTCAAACCTGCTGGCTTAAAACCTAGCTCATGGTGTCCTGCATGCCTTAAGCCTGCTCCCCACTCATGTTCCTGGTCTTATGGGCTACCAGAGCGCCAGCCATCCGGAAGATGGAGCGCCAGCCATAGTCCTCTCTGTTCCTAACCCTTCATCTACGGGGCCCCAAAGGAGTCTCATCTGAGCCCTGAAGAACCGATGGCTCCTGACCCATGTTCTACATTCCTACCACCACTGTCCTAACCAGGGCTACCACACGGTTTGTAGGGGCCAGTGTAAAATGGAGAAGCAGGGCCCTTGTTCAGAAAAACTTAAGAATTTGGAGTCCACGTTGTGGGGCAGCAGGTTAAACTGCCGCTTGGGTTGCCCATATCCCGTGTCCTGTCTCTGAACCAGCTTCCTGCTGGTGCACCTGGGAGGCAACAAATGGTAGCCCAAGGCCTTGGGTCCCTACCCATGTCAGAAACCTGGATGGAGTTCCTGGTTTGTGGCTTCCACCTGGTGCAGCCCTGGCTGTTGCAGGTGTTTGGGGAGTGAGCCAGTGGATGAAAGATCTGTGTGTGTCTCTCTCTGTCACTCTTTCTTTCTTTCTTTTCTTTCTTTCTTTCTTTCTTTCTTTCTTTCTTTCTTTCTTTCTTTCTTTCTTTCATATTTATTTATTTATTTGAAAGGCAGAGTGACAGAGAGGAAGGGAGGGAGGGGGAGGGGGGGGAGAGAGAGAGAGAGAGAGAGATCTTCCATACGCTGGTTCACTCCCCAAATAGCCACAACAGCTGGAGCTGTGCCAATCTGAAGCCAGGAGCCAGGAGTTTCTTCTGAGTCTCCCACATGGATGCAAGGGCCCAAGGACTTGGGCCATCTTCTACTGCTTTCCCAGGACATTAGCAGAAAGCTTGGATTGGAAGTGGAACAGCCAGGATTCAAACCGGCGCCCATATGGGATGCTGGCTCTGGAAGCAGTGGCTTTACCCACTATGCCACAGCTCTGGCCCCAAATCCTTCTTTTTAAATAAGAATTTGGGGCTCAGCAGTATGGGATAGTGAGTGAAGCCGCTGTTTGCAGTGCCGGCATCCCGTATTAGAACACTGGCTGGAGTCCCAGCCACTCTGCTCCCAGTCAAGCTCCCTGCTAATCCACCTGAGAAAGCAGATGATGGCCCAAGTTCTTGGGCCCCTGTCACCCACATAAGAGGCCCAGATGGAGTTCCTGGCTCCTGATTTTGACCTGGCCCAGCCTCAGCCATTGCAGCCATATGAGTAATGAAACGCAGATGGATGATCCTCTCTCTGTCTCTCCCTCTTTCTTTTGTTGCTCTGCCTTTCAAATAAATTAAAAAAAAAATCTTAAAAAGAAGGAAGCATTTCAAGACAGTGACTGAAGATCATGAAACCAAGGACCACCCCTAATAAGTGTGGGGCCCTGTGTGAGTCACATCCAGCGTGGTCCTAACACAAGCCCTTTCTGTCTCTGGTCTGCGCTGCTGGTTCATTCCTGGTCTCTCTCACTTCCAGGCTGTCGCTCACAGCTGTCTCCCTGCAGACCTGTTTTTAATACTTCCAGCATAAACTCCAGCCCCTTAGCACCCTGCTCTTGCTGGTCTCCTCCACGCTCCCTCCCTCATGCCCTCATCAGCTTCTACCTGAAGCCGCACGCCTCTGCGCACGCTCTTTCCTCTGTCCTGGATACCTTCCTACTGATCTCCCAAAACTCCTGTTCATGGTTCCTCCCTTTCCTCCTTAGCAGCTCACTCCTTCCCCTAAGCCCATGCCAGGCTGTATAACAAGCCTCAGCAAACTTTTTCTGAAAGGGACTGATAGGAAATATTTTCAACCGTGCTGTCCAAGAGACAAAGGTTTGAGGTAGGTACAACATAACCATTTAAAATGGAACCATTTGGGGGCAGGTGTTGCGGCACAGTGGGTTAAGCTGCCACTTGGGATTCCTGGATCCCACGCCAGAGTGACAGTTGGAGCCCTGGTACTTCCACTTCCCATCCAGCTTCCTATTTGTGCATCCCGAGATGGAACAGCTGATGGCTCCAGGGCTCCAGCCCCTGCCACTCATGTCGGAGTCCCAGAGTTCCCAGTTCCTGGTGTCAGCCTGGGCCGGCCTCATCCCCAAAATTGGGCATTTGGGGAGTGAACTACTAGATGGAAGATCTCCGCCTATCTCTTTCTCTCTATCTCTCTCTCTGCCTTTCAAATAAAATAAAAATAATTAAATATTAAAAAAAAAAACAATAGATGGGAGGGGCTGGCATTGTGGCACTGGTTTGAGTACTCATTCCATATGAACACTGGTTTGAGTCCCAGCTGCTCCACTTCCGATGCAGCTCTCTGCTAATGCAGCTGAGAAAGCTGCAGAAGACGGTCCAAGTGCTTAAATAAGGTTCCAGGCTCCTGGCTTCAGCCCGGCTCAACCCCAGCCACTGCAACCATTTGGGGAGTGAGCCAGAGGATGGAAGATTTCTCTCTCTGTGTCTCTCCCTCTCTCTGTCTCACTCTGCCTTTCAAATAAATAAAAGGGGCCAGTGCCGTGGTGCAGTAGGTTAGTCCTCCGCCTGAGGCATGGGCATCCCATATGGGAGCCGGTTCTAGTCCTGGCTGCTCCCCTTACAATCCAGTTCTCTGCTATGGCCTGGGAAAGCAGTGGAAGATGGCCCAAGTCCTTGGGCTTCTGCATCGTGTGGGAGACCCGGAAGAAGCTCCTGGTCCTGGCTTTGGATCAGCGCTGCTCCGGTCGTTGCAGTCATCTGTGGAGTGAACCAGCGGATGGAAGACCTTTCTCTCTGTCTCTCCCTCTCACTGTCTGTAACTTTACCTCTCAAATAAATAAAATATTTTTTGAAAACCAAATAAATAAATCTTCTTAAAGCTTACCAGTAAACATTTGTATACTTACATATCTGTCCCCCACCCCCCACCCCGCCAGACAGAACACAAAACCATGTATCAGAGCTTCTTGGATCTCCAATATCTAGTTCAGAGTCAGGTGCGTAGCAGGTGTTCAATACAGAGGTGTTGAGTGACTGGATGAATGAATGAATGAATGGATGATTAAAGAGGACTGAGCCCGTGTGCAGAACGAAGCCCGGATCCTGGGTGCCTCACGTCCCACCTTTCCTCACCTGACTCCTTGTCTCAGATGTGATAGGGTGGTGCCCCACCCCCAGAGCAGACCCGAGCCTTCTGGGGTGCCCAGAGCTGCTCCCAGAACCTGGTCTGATCTTTCGGCTGGCCCGGTGCTGCCTCGGTGCCCCAGCAGTTCTCAGCAATGACCTTGTAGGTGTTCCCATCGTGTCAACAGGGGAAGAGACTGAGCCGAGCCTGGGGAGGAGAAAGGAAGGAGATGGCTCTGGAGTAAGCTGCGGGGAATTTCACCAGAGAAGCGAAATGAGAAGCACCGGAGGGCAGAAAGGAAGTGGCCTGCGTTGAGTAACTGCGGACTTTCTTACTCTGTCAGCCTAGTGTAACCGGGAACACGAGAGCTGGGTGCCTCGCGCCCGGAGCCTGACTGCCCACCAGAAAGGATTGCTCTTGGCCTCTTCCTCTGCAGAGAGAACCGAATCCGGGGAGACTCCAGTGAGTATTGGGGATGGGGCGGGGGATACTTTTCCTTTCTCAAATAGAAAAACTGACCCGTGTGTGTGTGTCTGTGTGTGTGTGTGTAGCAGAGAGGAGCAGAGGGAACTACAGTAGCATCCTGAATAGAGGGAGGGGTCTCCTGGGGCTGGTATTGTGGTGCAGCAGGTCAAGCTGCCGTTGGTGATGCCGGCATTCCCTATGGGAGCACTGGTTTGAGTCTCGGCTGTTCTCCTTCTGATGCAGCTCCTGTTAATGTGCCTGGGAAAGCAGTGGAAGATGGCCCAGGTGCTTGGGTCCCTGCAGGCACATAGGAGACCAGGATGGAGTTGCTGGTTCCTGGCTTCGGTGTGAGCCAGCCATGGCCATTGCAGCCATGGGGGAGTGAGCCAGTACATGGAAGATCTCTCTCTTTCTCTCCCTCTCTCTATGTCACTCTGCCTTTCAAATAAGTAAAATAAATCCTAAAAAAAAAAGTTGGGGTTGGCACTGTGGCATAGTGGGTTAAGCTGCCGTCTACAGTGCCGGCATCTCATGTGAGTGTCGGTTCAAGTCCCGGCTGCTCCACTTCCCATCCAGCTCCCTGCTAATGGCTTGGGAAAGCAGCAGAGAATATCCCAAGTGCATCCCTGCACCATCATAGGAGACCAGGAAGAGGCTCCAGCTCTGGCTGTTGTGACCATTTGTGGAATGAACCAGCAGAAGGAAGATCCCTTCCCTCCCCTCCCCTCCCCTCCCCTCTCCTCCCCTTTTTTCCTCTCCCCTTCCCTTCCCTCTCTCACTCTCTCTCTCTCATAAATAAACAAATCTTAAAAAAAAAAAAAAAGAACACACACAAAAAAAGGTTAGAAGACACTGGGTTTACTGACAGCAACTGGATGGACATTGAAGAGGCCTAGGGTTTGGGGGCAGGTAGCAATTTAGACAGGTTTCAATGAGAATTTGGGGAAAGCTTTGAGAATGAGAAAGGACCGGGAGCATCAGGAGAGAGCTGGGATGGCCAGGGATGGCTCTGGCGGCAGTGACTAACGCCAAGCTCCAGGAGCGGTTCAGGTGTCCCAGGGCCCAGGGCTGCCCAAGGGGTCCGAGTGCAAGGTCAGCTCCTGACCCCCCTTTTCTTGTGCAGCCGCTGCCTCTGCAGCCTCCGTCATGTGGAACACCTCGGACGCCAATTTCTCCTGCTACCACAAGTCTGTGCTAGGCTATCGCTACGTCGCCGTCAGCTGGGGCGTGATGGTGACTGTGACGGGCACCGTGGGCAACGTGCTCACCCTGCTGGCCCTGGCCATCCAGCCCAAGCTCCGAACCCGCTTCAACCTGCTCATCGCCAACCTCACGCTGGCGGATCTGCTCTACTGCACCCTCCTCCAGCCCTTCTCGGTGGACACCTACCTGCACCTGCACTGGCGCACTGGCGCTACCTTCTGCAGGATCTTTGGGCTCCTCCTTTTTACGTCCAATTCTGTCTCCATCCTCACCCTCTGCCTCATCGCCCTGGGACGCTACCTCCTCATTGCTCACCCCAAGCTCTTCCCCCGTATTTTCAGTGCCAAAGGGGTGGTGCTGGCACTGGTGGGCACCTGGGTCGTGGGTGTGGCCAGCTTCGCCCCGCTGTGGCCTGTCTATGTCTTGGTGCCCGTGGTCTGCACCTGCAGCTTTGACCGCATCCGAGGCCGGCCCTATACCACCATCCTCATGGGCATCTACTTTGTGCTTGGACTCAGCAGTGTCGGTGTCTTCTACTGCCTCATCCACAGACAGGTGAGGCGGGCGGCACAGGCGCTGGACCAGTACAAGCTGCAACAGGCAAGCGTCCGCGCCAAGCACGTGGCTGGCACAGATGAAGTCGTGCCCGGTCGTTACCAGGAGCTGGACAGCGGGCTGGTGTCAGGAGGGCCCAGTGAAGGGATTTCATCGGAGCCGGTCAGCGCCGCTACCACCCAGGAAGGGGACTGGTCGGACGTGGGGAATCCGAGCTACGGCAAGGTAGCTAAGCCGATGGCAGAGAAAAGCCACCCAGAAGTGCCTGCCAAGGCCCGGCCACCTACAGAAGGAGCGCGAAGAACTCAGGACTCCCCATCAGAGTTCGGGAAGGTAACCCGGATGTGTTTCGCAGTGTTTATCTGCTTTGCCCTGAGCTACATCCCTTTCTTGCTGCTCAACATCTTCGACGCCAAGGTCCGGGCTCCCCGGGTTGCCCACATGCTAGCCGCCAATCTCACATGGCTCAACGGTTGCATCAACCCTGTGCTCTATGCAGCCATGAACCGCCAGTTCCGCCAAGCATACGGCTCCCTCTTGAGACAAGGGCCCCAGAGTTTCCGGAGGCTCCGTTAGCGCCACGTCCGCACCCCCCTCCCGAACCAGGGTGCCCAGCCGATTTGAGGACAGGTGAAAGGGACACCTGTGAACAGTCTCACGGCAACCTCTCCACCCCCAAGCCAACTCCCCCTAGAGCTGTGTTTTGGCCCTCGGCTGCCCGACAGCATTATGAAGTATTAATAAATGAATTCTATGCTTGCAGCGCTCAGGTGTGGTCTCTGGTTGGTTTGGAGTGAGAACCAAATAGCTGAGGATTTGGAATGACCTGTGTCTGGGCAGGGGCAGAAAGCAGCCGGGGATTCCAGGTGATAAAACATGTGAGGTGGCTCAAGAGGATTAGCCTGGGGTGGGCTTTTGATGCAAAAGTTAAGAGCCTGGGGCCGGCGCTGTGGCGTAGTGGGTAAAGCCGCTGCCTACAGTGTCGGCATCCTATGTGGGTGCCAGTTCGAGTCCCAGCTGCTCCACTTCTGATCCAGCTCTCTGCTATGGCCTGGGAAAGCAGTAGAAGATGGCCAAGTCCTTGGGCCCCTGCACCCACATGGGAGACTCAGAAGAAACTTGCTCCTGGCTTCGGATCAGTGTAGCTCCGGCCATTGTGGCCAATTGGGGAGTGAACCATCGGATGGAAGACCTCTCTCTCTCTCTCTGTCTCTCCTTCTCTCTGTGTGTAACTCTTTCAAATAAATAAATAAATATTAAAAAAAAATCCTTCTGCAGGGCTGGTGCTGTGACATAGCAGGTAAACTGCTGCCTGTGGTGCCAGCATCTATGGGCACCGGTTCAAGACCTGGCTGCTCCTTTTCTGATCCAGCTCTCTGCTATGGCTTGGGAAAGCAGTGGAAGATGGCCCAAGTGCTTGCTCCTTGCCCCCCCCCCACCCTGTAACTCTGCATCTCAAATAAATAAATAAAAATCTTTAATTAAAAAAAAAACTCACTTGGGACACCTGCATCCCATATTTGAATCCCTGGGTTCAAATCCTGACTCCTCTTCCTGCTAACGCACACCCTGGGAGGCAGCAGGTGACGGTTCAACGACGGGGCCTTGCCACCCGTGTGGGAGATCCAGAGTGAATTCCTGCCTCCTGGCTTCAGCTTGGCCGAGGCCTGGCTGTTGTGGGCATTTGAGGAGTGAATTAGTGGATGGAATATCTCTCTGCCTTTGAAATAAAATGAAAAACATGTCTTTTTAGAAACAGTTTTAGGGGCTGGCGCTGTGGCTCACTTGGCTAATCCTCTGCCTGTGGTGCCAGCATCCCATATGGGAACCGGGTTCTAGTCCCGGTTGCTCCTCTTCCAGTCCAGCTCTCTGCTGTGGCCCGGGAAGGCAGTGGAGGATGGCCCAAGTGCTTGGGCCCTGCACCCCATGGGAGACCAGGAAGAAGCACCTGGTTCCTGGCTTCAGATTGTCACAGCGCCAGCCATGGTGGCCATTTGGGGAGTGAACCAACGGAAGGAAGACCTTTCTCTCTGTCTCTCTCTCACTGTCTATAACTCTACCTGTCAAAAAAAAAAAAAAAAAAAAAAAAACCCACAGTTTTAGCCTGCCTTTTTTTTTTTTTTTTTTTTTTTAAGTTGGAAGTGGAGTGGAGCCCAGCTGAGGGTTCCAGGAATGATAGCAGTCTCTCTCCTGGGGCTAATTCAGCTGGGTCCCAGGAGCAGACAGAACAGAGACCCCTGCTGAGAGGGCTCAGGGGCCAGGCTTGGGGGAGACCACACCATTCCGTTCCTCCTCATGTCTCCGGGTACACAGCCGTGGAGCACCTGTGGCCACCAGGTGACGCTGGTTGTCTGTGTTTCCATTCTGCTTCCTGTCTGAGGACAGAAGGTGCTGGCAGGGCCGGGAGTCCAGAGACTCCGACCAGGGATCGGACACCCAGGGAGCCGCACCCTCCCCTTTCCTTCAGTGCTTAGGAAGAAAGTAGGATGGGGTGGGGCGCGGACGGGAGCAGGGTGGGCGGTGCTGGGGCTGGAATTTGAGTCATGCTGATGTGACCCTTGCTGTCCGTTTCAAGGCCCCAAGTCCAGGGTCTGGGAGAACAAAGTAAAATCTGGAGAGACCCAAACACGGGCAGAAATCACTCGACGGACAGATGGATATCGTCACATGCAACCCATTTCCAGGCCCAGGGAATGCCCACGGGCCGGCGCGTTCGCCCTCCACAAAACCCCAGCAGTCTACAAGGGCTCAAGCTGGGGCTCCCAAGGCAGCACCCCAGGAGCACTGCAGGGCACGGTCAGTTAGCTCTGTGGACCCCGGGGCGTGGGGGGGGGGGCTGCATTGCATCTACACAAACGGCAGGCACTGTGCACTCCTAGCACACAAACGCCCAGTGCCAGGCTACGTGCTACCTCTGAGATACAATGAGAACATGGCATCTTCCCGAGGTGGGCCGGCTGGGGATGGTTTGTGGACAGTCTAACCTCAGGCACTGCCAGCCCACAAGTGTGTAAGCACTACAGAACAGCTGCCTTGTTAAATTTAGGATCAAGCGACAAGAAGGTCCCTGAAAGTCCTTTCTACTCTGGCTTTCTAAGATTCTGAAAGGGGGTGGTGGAGAGGATCCCGTTTCACATCCCTTGAGGGCACTTCAAAAGCTTCCTCAAGTAGAGAGGTGCAGCAATAGGGATTGAGGTTAGACTGCAGGGAGGACTTTCCCAGTTACCAGTCACCGGAAAAAAAAATAACGCAGGCCGCTGGAAAAGATGACTCAGAGGACACAAGCGGAAACAGTGCGGTCTGAGATGTCCGCGAGAAAGCAACCCCTCCCTCCGCACCCTCCATGGCGGCCCCACACTCTCGGTCTGGGCGATTGAGGGGAAGGGGCAGGAGAGTGGGTGCGCCCAGGGGCCCCGCGCCGGGTGACAGTCAGGGCCTGTCTCTTTGTCAGTCTCCCGCCCGAGCCTAGCGCTGCCTCGGTGACGCTATCTCCCCCGGCTTCTCTTTGTCCCTCTCCATCTGTCCGTCTCTCCTGCAGGCTGTCTTCAGCGCTCGCACCTCCGCGATCGCCTCTCCCGGACTAAGCGCCTCCTCTCGCTCGCCCTCCCCCACCCCCTCGCCCCCCACCCCCGCCCCAGGCCCCCGCCCCGCGGCTCTCGCTCGCCCGCACGCTCTCTCTCTCCCGCTGTCTCTTACAGGCAGATTTATGGTCAGCCCAGGGCCTTTCATTGGCCAAGCGCTGACAGGACTTGATTTAACGCTGCCTCTCATTGGCTGATCTTGACAGGCCGATTTACGAGTCATTCTCCCATTGGCCAGGCCGCCGTGGCTCTGATTTATGGCTCGGGGTGGGGGGCGGCGGGGAGGGGGGCGCCGCTGGGGAGTGAGGAGGCCCCTCCCCTCTCCCTCTCCCGCGCTCTGGCTCCTCCCGCCCTCCCTCTACCTGTCCCGCGAGCCCCCTCCTCCCTTCCCTTTCATCCGCTGGGAGGGGGCACTGGGAGTCCCGTGGCGGTAGTGGTGGGAACCGGGGCGGAGGAGGGGGTTTGAGGGGTGCGGGGAGGGCAGAGGAGGCTGGAGGGCGAAGGGGGCCACAGGGTGACAGAAAAAAAAGGCTGGCTGAGGAGAGGCGCGAGGGAGCGAGGGCTGAGGAGAGAAGGGGCCCGTCTGAGGGCCGGGAGAGGAGGCTGAGGAGACGGCGCCCGGGCCCGAGCGGGCTTTGCGCGCCTCGCCGCCTCGCCGCCCCGCCGGAGTGGGAGAGGAGACGTGGCTGTCCAGACAATGGCTGTGCAAGGGGCAGAGACAAGAGGGAGAGAGGATGGTGGCGCACTGGGGTGTGTGGGGGGGAGCCCGACGCACCCCCCAGGGGACGGCGAGGACAGCGGCTCCCGCTCCCCCTCGCCTCGGGGACCCCTCGGCCCGCGCGTGGGCACGCGGCGAGCGCCTCCCCCAGGCCGCAGGCTGCAGCGCGCTCCCCGGCCCGGAGACCCCACTCCTCCCCTCGCTCACCTCCCCGTGAAATTTATGAGTTCAGAGTTGGCCTTCAGGAATTAGGAATATTTATGCTTGTTTGAGGGTGAGGTTTGGGAGGTGATAAATAAGGGAGCACTGGGGAGGGGTATGTGTGCAGCTAGGGGGGGCTCCTGTTTTTAGCAGGGCCATTTTCCCAAAGCCCCCCACCCTCAGCCGGGGCAGGGAGCGCCGCGGGAGGCCAGGAAGGGGTTTCGGGTATCAGGAAGGGGGTGGACGGGCCCGGGAGGGCCCCTGGCAGGACCGCAGCGCTCTGCCGCAGAGCGGGGTGCAGGCGGCGAGGGGAGGAACTTTCCAGGCCTCCTGGCGTGGGTGCAGCCCCTGGAGTGCGCGGGGGCGGGTGCTGGAGACGAGGAGCAACCCGTCCCCCACCCACCCCCACCCCAAGCTCAGTGGCTGAGGATTTGGGAAGAGGAGCCAGGAAACTCAGAGGCAGGTTTCTCTGGCCTGTCACCTCCCTCGCCGCCCGCCCGCCAGCAGAGGAAGATGTGAAATCCCTGCACACACTCTCCCCCCCCTCCCCCCCAGAGGCCACAGTCTGGATTCCTGGGAAAGGAGGCCAGGAATGTGGGGCTCAGGGCATCTCCTAGGAGTCTCAGCCACCAACCTGTCCACCCCCACTGCTCGCAGAGAATTAAAAACAGCCAGGAGTTCCTGACACCCGCTTGCCCTGGGCCTCCAGGAAATGAGGGAGAAAGAATCTGCCGGGGATCCGCATGCCTGCTCCAGGAGCCGGGCGTCTGCGACCCCCTAGTCCCAAGAGAGGGCTTGCTCTGGGCTTGGGGACGCAGTCAGCCAAGATGGGGGTCTAAGAACGCTGGGGAAGAAGCCCTGGAGGCCATGGCGTCCCTCTACCATGGCCTTGGCCAGGATGGCCACTGTGCACATGCGTGCACACACACCATGCTGCTGCCGCCTGGACTGGGAGGAGGGAGGCAGAGAAGGGTCTAGACTGGCCCTTTAAGAGCCACTTAGGGTCAGAAAGCCTGGGCTACAGAGAGGGGAAGGAGCTGATGTCAGAAGACGGATGGGTAGCAAGATGGGGATTGATGCTAATGGGGGAGTTAAAGCTAAGTACCCAGACACTCAGAGGGCAGAACTGCAGATCTGTCTTCCTTATGCTCACCCCCTCCCCAAACCAAGGCTGTAAATCTGCCTCCTCAATTGGGGGAAGGGGAGTGAGGGGGAAAAAAAGAGATGCTCTCTTCTGCCTTTTCCTGTTTCTCCCTTACCCCTGGAGGCCACTACCCTCGGCCCTCCGTTCTTTTGTCCTCTCCCAACCTTCCCTCCCCAGCTAGGGCCCCCTCCCACTAAAATGTCCAACTTTGTCTTGCCATCAGAGATTGGGGGGATTGTTTCAGCTTGCAGGGGAGTTCGAGCAGAGCCCACCCGAGATCCTGGATGGGAATGGGTTGGTGGGATTGTGCCTCGGTTTCCCTTCCTTCTACTCTCTTCTCCCTTGCAGGTTACTCTAGCCTGCTTCTCCCAGGACAGTAGGGTGGGAGCCAAAAGCAGGATGTTGGGTGCCAGGGGCTGGAGGAGCTGCGAGAGCTTCCCGGTCGGGTCTGTGGGGGCCTGTGACACGCCGAGGTTCTGGAGGGGCTGGGGGTGGGCCTCCCTGGGCAGCTGGGGAGGCCGCAGGAGCTGTCCACGAGAAGATCTACGGCCGGGTTTCTGGGAAACTCGTGGATCAC